AACCAGCTCAATGGTACATGGACTGAGACACTATGCAAGCGCGGGCATCAACGAAGGCAAAGTCTGTTTACACTGCAGTCGGGCGAGCGCGAAGATTGTTAAACTGTAGCCTAACACGTTTCAGAATGGGGTACATCATCAGCGGATCGAATCCCTGTCGTACATAGGACTGCAATAGCTGATCAAGATCGGCCTCACGCTGTTCCAACGGCCAAGAAGCACGTGCAATCAGGTGAGCTCTGGATCGAAAGCTGCTTAACAGTGTCCGTGTGTTGGCGGCAGAATTGGGGTGTAAGAACTTCCAGGTCTCAACAGGCTGGACATACTGTACTCGTAGTTCCTGTACATCCACATGAAAACCCAAGAAAAGGTCTCCATCCTCATACTCAAGTACGATGGGCGGTATGTATACATCCTGGTGCAGAAAAGCTTGCACAGCAGCATAGTTGGCCTGGCGATCAAGAATCAAGCTCATCCGGTTGTCAACGTATCGAACCACAAGGCCAAAGGTTGGCAAGCGAGAAGACTCTAACAGACATTTTCCAAAGTACATGTGCTCGTATAGGCTTACCACAGCATGACAAGCTGCCGGGGAGAAATGGCTTCCCATCGGTGCACCTCGGATTTGTTGAATGGCCTGCTGACCCACCATGAATAGATTGAACTTGAAAGACACCTGTACAGCCTCCAGAAATAGGTCCATTGGGACGGCAACTCGTTTGTCATTCAACAGGCAATGCCGACCACGGATAGTTTTCATAACCGACATGTTGTTTTCCAAGTCCACAGTCACCACAACGCCTTTTAAGGCATGATCAAGATCCGCATCCGAGACGTCGTAAAAACGACAAAGCAATATGCGAAAGGTAATCATGAACCGCTCCCGTGGAATGCTCACGAAAAAACCTGACAAGTCTTGATTGTGCATGGCAAGCTTCTGTCTGTCTTGACCCGAGCTGTGACATCGCTTCTCAAAGAAAGCATGTATGTTCTGCCAAAGCAAAATTGCATCGTTGTAAGATCGGGTGTGAGGACACACCTCAGCGACAAGCATCTCTGTGACTCGCGCCATCACAACCAAGAACTGGCGAGCCGGGTGAGAGGCAAAACTAACGATTGGCCTGCCTCCTTTCCATTCTTTCTTGAACTTGGGGAGAATGTAAGCCCATGACACACGGGCAGCACGAGATCCAAAACGGAAGGGACAGGATTCAAGAATCCGAGGTGGCACTGCATGTTCCATCTGAACCATAATTGTCGAAGGATTTAACGACAATGGCTTGAAGACCGATTCAGCAGTAAAAGTGTTCTGGAGCATCATCCAATACTTCACAGGGCAGAAAACATGCGCATGCGAGCCTTCATGATCTCGGACATGCCACACCAATCCTTTGGTCCTTTTTCGCAACTCACGAACCTGATCAACTGACCAATGTGTTCCGACATGTTGTGAGTGCATCTTCCATGCCTTCTGCCACACACTTCGAATATCAACAGTCGGATAATGCATCAAGCCATGATAATCAATCCAATGCCTCACGTCTTCGAGAAACATCGTCCAATGATCCGTGGCGTTCATGAATACCGGATTGGAGCAACTGGACTGGGCCAACTGAGTCAAATCAGGTGGCAGGGTCAACAACGTGGCAGAAGAAGCAATGTGACCCTGGACAACAGTCAGGTGTGGATGACGTCGAAGAAGTTCATGGCAGCAACATGTGACACCAGCCTGTTGCGGCTCCTCGTGCGGGTCCCACGACTGCAGGATTGGTTTATGCGAAAACAACACATCCTTGATTTTAGGGTGACTTTTGGCAACGAGCGATGTCGCTGGAATGTGGTACGGCAGCAGTCGATCCGTCGATACATCCAAAATATCTCTCAACATGCCGCGAACCAAGCGTTTGAAGCCTACTTCAGGCAGCAAGAACGGAGTGGAAAGGGGGCGGCATGTAGTTGGGCACCTCAACTGTCGAAATTGCAGCACAGTGTTCAATCTGGACCTGCAGATCGTCTCATAGAACGGGTCACCCAGATGAGTGGCCATCCTGAATAATCTATAGAGAAAATCCGAGTCAACTCGGTTGCTGCGCAGATATTTTTGGGCAAGAAAGGACTTCAACCCGTCAGAAGCTAAGTCAAACAAAATCTGATAACTGTATACAATGTTCTGAACAATGTGTGTCGACCGGAAGACCGAAGGAGTCAGTCCAGTGAGCTGGAACTTCCGACGTCGAAAGCGTCGAAAGGTTCTCCACGAGGTCACAAATCTGCGAACACATCTGACTGGATCCGAGTTGGCAATCTGTGCATGTTTTGCTCTGACAAGAGAGCGAACCCAAGGAGCATTGAGGTGAGGCTGCAGCAAGTTGATAAATGTCTGCTCAATCGTGTGCAAACAATCGACCTGCGGGACATGCATGATCAACAGAGGAATGGCCATGTGATAATTCTGTCGTCGATAATGCCAAAACAGCGAAAGTTCACCGCACACTGACTTGCCAGCCCTGATCTGTTGGAATTTCCCCCATCTTGTACGCTCACGGTCGCCCAGTGTTTGGGATGATGATCCGACATACATGAATTTCTGTAACTCAGGCTGGAGAAAGATGCGACAATAAATCACCGACTGCGTCTGAAAGAATTTCCAGGTGTAGCTGGAGCATTTTAAAGGTGTCTCGTAGAGACCTTGGAAAAATAGATGAGCATTCCGAAGTAAATCCACTTCACTTCGGTGCCGTTTCCACCAACCTTGTGGCGGATTGTCAATGCGATACACGTCCCTGGCATCCAGTATGGCCTGTAGTCAAGCCACAAGAATTGTTCCGGCAGCAAGAATACGGAGCAGAGAATTCGCCTTAAGCTTGGGAATATCACGGATGGGTACGCCCCAATTGGCAACAACCTGATCCAATTCGGCCTGTTCATTGGAAGGAAGGTCCGCATGCCATCGTTGGACATGAGCTGTCCATGTCTGGAGCTTCTGTCGATTGTTCTTGCTCAAGTTCAATCCTTCAATCCACGTCGATACTTCTTTGTCCGACTTGCAAGCCTTCCAACTGCGACTCAAGAAGTGACGTTTGCTGGGATCCGTGAGAACAATCTTCACAACCTGTCCAACATGCGAGGATGTTCCATACTCAGGCTGAGGAGCAGAACTCGAATTGCCTGGGCTGCGACCCTGGGTCTCAGCTTCATCGGGCTCGACACTCGAAGGTTCAGCATGATTCCCCGATGGTTTGCCTTTCTGGAATGCCTGCATGAGACTGGTTTTGGGCTCAGCCGTCTGACCACGAAGAAGGCGAGTGGCACCATCCGGAACTTTCTGAGCTGAGGGCGCAGACTCCGGCACACGTCCTTGGGGGCTTTCTTCAATCGGCAACGTTTTCGGAACTGCAACCTCTTGATTAGAAGATCGGGAGGGGGAAGCATTCTCGAAATTCGCAAGTTGTTGTTGAAGAATCTGGATCTGATTGGCCATGGCTGCCTTCTCTGTGTCAACAGAGGCCTGAGGATACAGACCTAGCATGTAGTCAACAACCTTCTGTGCCAACAAGTGTGTGGCCTGCGACTTTGAGTCCGAACCGCTGCTCTTGGAAGCGGGGTCACTGATACCAAGCACAATAGAAGCAAGCTCATCCAAGTCGACGTCTTCATCTCGCAGCTTTCCGAACAAGGCATGGCAAAATACAACTTCACCGATCGATTTGAAGCCTGCAAAGAAAGTCGGCTTTCCTTCGGCAATATGGCGCACCCAATACGAATTCCAACCTTGATAGAGCAACGAGTGAAGCGGTATCATATGGGTCGGACATCCATCAATCTGCTTTCGAACTGTCCAGTCAGTCTTCTTTACCCAACGAGCCAAGTTCAAGCCTGCAATACAACGGGAATCCAAATAGTTTGGGTTCTGGCAAAACTCAGCGGGCATCATCGGGCCGAAGACTCTCGGGGAGTTTGCAGCAGGTGGGGATGGGAGGCCTGGAATGCGGGGGGTTGGCGAAATGTTCATAATCTGAGCAATACGTGGATTGGGTTGCCACGTAAGATTCTGTGGCTGAAGCACTGCCGGTCTGTTCACTGGTGGGGCAGGTCGGGGTGCAGGGTGCTGCCAACTCTCAGGGGTAGGTGGGACCGAAGCCGGCAAGGAGGAGCTCCAGAAGGGGTTGCGGCGGGGGGAGCGTTCACGATCCATGGCAGGAAATGAGAACAACAACTGACTGCAAAGCTCAAGCCGGAATGATCTCAAGAAGCGACTCCAGAATGCGACTCCGATCTGATTTCCAGAAATGTGATTTCCACTCAGTGATCTCCACTTGAACATGTTGTGAAACGGAATTGATTTCCGGAGCTGCTAACACAAGAACCCCGGTGGGCCGGCAACTTCGCCGAATAGCGACAAGGCCCTCGTGAGGGAGCTCTTGCCGAACACAACTGGAAAGGCTCCCACTGACCCGCCTTCTGGATGTTCTGATCGTCCAATGCAGATACTCTCATGGACATGCTCAAACAGATTGCAGCAACCGTACAAAGCTTCAAAACAAGCGAAAGACATGTTCAAACCTGCAAACCTGCCTTGTTCGAAAGAAACTTTTGCTAATCTCGCTGGCTCAGGGGCCCAGCTTTTTTGCAGGTACAGGCTCACACGTCTGTGAACCCATCCAGTCAACATCCATAGCTTCGTTGGCGTGGCTAGGATGTGACCGCCACGCCCCCTGCAAACTTAAAAGCGAAAAGAGCATGAAAACAAGAAAAATCCATGGGTCAAAGCATGTACCTACAAAGGTTTTCAAACAGAAACGCCAAGGAAAAGTGGACATGTGAATGCAGGTTTTTCGCATGTACAGCAGAATAACACAAACACACACACACACACACACACACAGACCTTCCCGACATTCCTCCAAAGCAAGGTGTGAAGTCCAAGCTGGGAAACAGGAATGAGGGTAAACCGAGAGAGTGTAGCCCAAACCAGACATGGCTACCTTCGGTGAGCACAGGAGGACACGCCGATGGATGAGGCCAAAGACAAAGCCCGCTTTGCAGAGGAGCAGCACAAGGCACGCCGGCCCTCAGACCCCTAGCCCGAAACTCTCCAGTTGTGTCTTTCAGGTTTGTTGTCGGATTGGCAGCTGTGCAAGTTGGACCGGCACAGCCGACTGATGAGCTAGTGGAAGGGGCAAATATGTTCGGCAATCCTTCCATCGCAACACTCCGAACGCTAAGCACCCTCAAGTGCTGGACTTTTAATTGGAGCAAGTGGTATCGACTCAACCCATGACCGGTGTGAGACACTGTGATAGTATTATTCTCCCAAGCCAATAGCTTCTGATGCGACCAACTTTGGTCGGAGGTGACGGGTCAGGTGATGGATCCTGTGAACCTTGGAAAATTTTGTGCCCGCGAACAGCTACCAGTACTACCAGTAGCTTCTTGGAGGTTTAACCGCCGCTAGGTTGTGCCTGACAGATGCATGCGTGTGGCGGGGCAAGGACCCAAATACCCCCAGGACAGATGGCAGGATTTTTGGCGAATTCAGAAAAGCGCTTGCAAATGATGCCCGCCAGCCGATCCTGCGTCCTTTAGCGCCCGTAAACAAAGGTGACCGCGACGAGAACGTGGCCTCTCGGTGGGTAGCACCCTAACGGCCCTAGGTTTCCGAGAGGCTAATGAGCTCTCTCATGAGGCCGCAATGCCTATGCAATTTCGTCACAAGCCCATGGCTTCCTCCTGTGTGACGGTTTCTTACTCTCAACGAAACAAACGCCGAAGCGGGTGTGGCCACGTCCGCGACTGGCAGTTCTTCTTTGTGTGAAGAGCAGTGTAGTAGCAACAGTTGGGCGACAACGAACGATGTCACAACAACCAGCGCTGCGCTGGTCGTAAGCCAGATGAGTGCTTCGAGCGGCTCGAGCAGTGTGTTCCTGCCACGGATGTGCGAGTGCATAAGTCTGCGGAAAGCTCTAGGACCTCAACCGGTAATATTATCAAGCTCGGGAGCTTGAGGTTCGTTTTAGTTTATATAATCTATTAGTTGCACGACCAACAAAAACCGGCTGCTTGACGAGCTGCATGCAGAAGGAACAGCAGCCAGACCCCGGTAATTCTACAGTTTGCACCCGAACGCTTGAAACCCAAGTCTTGTCAATCCTGCCCGATGAAGGCAGCTCAGCTTTGCTTAGATGGAGTTCATGCACTCCCCAAAGCACTCCCCAAAAATCCATGGGGTTAAGACTCCCGAGCACCCGACTATACTTGGAGACCCGGCACGAAAGCCCCGATTCCGCAAGGTCTGCAAGCTCGTGCATCAGGTGCAGCGCTTAGAAGCAACATAGACTTTTCTCGAATTTATGATGCGTGAAGGCTGAGGGCCCAGAGGCCTGTTATGACAAGTCGGAGGTAAACGTGCGTTCACAAGTCCTGAAGCATTCAACTTCCCGACATTTGCAGGTCCGGCACGAGGATAGCGATGTTGAGTTTCAGATCCTCACGACGATGCGAGGCCTCGGTGCATGCTCTTCCGACTCTTAGGGGGCGGTCCGTCCGGAGTGCTCGAAGGCTTTTGTCATAATTCCTGCAAGTCGCGTAGACCCGGAGGCCGGAGGTGTTCATGTTTCTCGCCTTGGTTTGGCAGGGCGTGAGGTGTCCCACACATCCGGCCGTGATCACATGCACTTGCATCCCTGGCACCAGACATCAAGACGGTTGGTCTCAATTGACCAGTAGTCATCGTTTGACACATCCCGAGCTCCAGGCTGCAAGAGGACCAAGGCAGCCAAAACAGTGAATACCTACAGCTCTTGGAGCGGGATGTCTCACTGCCGCAGAATGGCTTCCTTTGCATAGGCGCAGCGCGTCATAGTCGTTGAATCTTCGCACTTGGCCGCAGTCAATGCAGGCTTCTTCGGACAGGGTGGACCGAACAGGCCGGCTGTGTATTCGCTGCGAGGCACTGCGAGGCTCTAAAAACTTTGATGCTCGTATGAGTATGAGGCGAAGTGGGAGTGTGCCGATGTTCGTGCACCTGTGCATCTGTTGCATAGGAGTGTAAGGGCCCTACGAAATAGTTGCATTGCACGCAAGATCCAGCCTGATACTTTCCTGACAGATGTCCGCTGCAGCACGTAATAGCCCGGAGCAGGCAGAAAGAGGTAGCGATCAGCTGAAAGGCTCGTCTTCACTTTGCAGCCCATCTTCTTCGCTGCCCTCGGGCTCGTGCCAAAGATCCTTGCACGGGAGAAACGCCGGGCCGAGGCTCAGCAGAAACCGGAGCCGGGGGCTGGCTTTTTACAGAGCTGCGGGGTGTGGGTGTGTTCCTTAAGCTCTTCGGAGCTTGAAGCCTCGGGCTCGAGGCGCGCGTGAGGCTTCAAGCTCTTGTTCGTCTGGAGCTGCATGTGTCCGTCTAAAGTGTGGATGTGCTGGCTGTCTACAACACTTGCGATGACAACCCCGCCCAAGAGGTTGCTATGCTGGGCTTTGAGCTAAGCCAGCTAAGCAGAAGATGGAGAACTATCATAATCTCCTCCCCTCCCCTCCGAGCGAGAGTAGCATACAAATTGTATAAGACAGACTCCGACTTCCCATGCACCCAGCTGACAGAGATTCCCAACTCTCGAAAGCGCAAACCTAGCTCCAGCTCGGCGCACGTGCCAAGTGTTGTGCTGGGTGGCATGGGTCATAGGTTTCTGATGCTTCGAGTTGGGAAAGTGTAAGGGCTGAAGGTTCCCCAAACCTGAGCAAGCTTTGCTCGCTGATCTTGTGCATCCGTCAAAAAAAAAGCCAGTTAACCAGCAGGAAGGAGATGAGGCGGTCCCGCCACCTGCAGTCAGCATGAAGAAGGCACGGCCTGCTGGAACTGGAAAGCAATCTACGTAGGACCCAACGCTTGGATCGCGACCCGTCTTTGAAAGATTCTGAATCCCATGCTAAGGTGACGAACGCAAGCATTACTGGCACGACGGAACCGTGCAGTAGCATGGTTATAGGGACAACTCTGTCTTGCACAGACTTCCGCCGCGATGCACTTCGGCATGCAAGTCTGTACGCAAACATCGAATCCAAAACGTTCAATACCTTTGGCTTGTGCCCGTTCCCATGCAATGATGATCTGACTCTGACATGCACTTGCAAACCCTACCTGCGTGCAGCAGGGGGCTGTCGGGAGAGTTTGTCTATGTTTGTCTAGTGCCTAAGCCAAGTAGATGCATTACACTGTGCGGAGATGTCGACACCAGTCCTGCATCTCTCCGATGCCAGTTCCAAGCACAGAGAGTCCAAAGCCTCCTCAAGCAGCACATGAATCAGTTTTCTGATCCATCACACATCCCCGGAGTCAAACTCACTTACCGATCACACAGCAGAATGTACTGACAACCACGCGCCACTACAATCACGCAACTGAGAAACGTTGGTGTCTTTATAAGCCCCAAAAACACCTACCGAAGCGACGCAGGTCTTCCAGTTCGTGCACAAGACGAACACGGCGCTAGATGCCCAGCTCGTTAAATGAACGGCCTCTATTTGAGAGGAATTCATAGAGTTGTCTGGATTGCATACGTCGGGTTCTTGTCGAGAGGACGTGCCTGAGCCGAGGCTCATGCAGTCCTCACCGGACATGGCGCTCCATCTTTGGCTTGCTGCTGCCGCACGGGCCCTGGGCACACTGGGCGCGGAAGTCTAGTCACGGCCAAAGCTTCTTTGGAAGGTTTGCTCGAGCGGATTGGGAATCTCAGATTCCAGCAGTGGGTTGGTTTCTCTGGCTTGGCTACATGTTGCTACCTTGATTCAGATTTGCTTTTTGCAAACTCACGGTCCATGCCGGAAGCTACCCGGCTGCCAGTTCTGCAAAAGCCCGTGCGTGGTTGTGCCGCCATAGGGCACCATCAGGACCACCCGGAGACTCCGGAGACAGGGTACGACATTCCCGACCCGTCACTGCGAGGTCATATTCGAGCTGCGCTACTTCACCCTGCAGCAATGCACCGTTTGTCATGTCATCATTGCCCGTAACACTTCAGAAGAGCCAGTTGAAATTACGGACCTCCAAAGCCACATCTGTGACCTCTCCTTGCCCCGTCCTCACTCCCTGGCCCTGCCCTTGGCCCTGGCCCCTGCCTTGACCTGCCCTTTGACTTGCCAGGTCTCGGCAGACCAAGTTGAGAGAGCCACTGGTGCACAGGGAGGCTATGAGCCCATCGCGTATGAATTCCTCACACAGGCAAGCTGGCTTTGCTTTGGGTTCTCAGGCTTCTCTCGGAAATGCGTATGTAGAGTGAGTCACCAGTTACACTTGTAGTGGCGTCGAAGCACCAGAACCCGGCATAGCTAATCGCATTTTGGGCCTTTCGGGTTGTCCTGGAAGCCCGAACAGTCGCGTAAGTGTACGAGGGTCGACCCTTGTGACTCTAGTGCACCCGGCTTCTCTTTGTGAACTGGCCCGGAGGGATTTGAGAGTGAGGGTGAGCTGTTTCAAGTAGCCGGTGGCTCGACGAAGTTGCCCTACGTCTGTGTGCCGAGGAAGGCAACGACAGCAACAAAAACTGGCAGGCCCTTGTCCTCTTTGAGGAGGAGATTTCGGACAGCTCCAAGCAATACAAGGGCATCCATAACATAGTGGCAGCCTCAAGGTGGCAATGCAGAAGCTGTCGGTCTCCGGTCACACCCTATGAAGCTGCAATCCTGAACCATGCGCCCTCGCATGCCCATCTCAAGCCCAAAAGCAAGCGTGAATCTTGAAACGTCCCACAAAGACCTCAAATCCTGCAATTACTTCCACACCAACGGGCTGAGCTGCTGTCTACATGAAGTCAACGCTACATAGACTTCCGCAATGCAGCAGCAGCCTGGATCCGGTCCTGTGCTAAACCTTCGACCTTCGACCTTGCTTTCGTTCTTGAGTTCTGTCTCCAGTGCTCACATATGAGGTTGGTACCCTGTGCAAAATCGCGGCCCTGGACCCGGAGAACTTTGACAATGTCTCACAGAAGATTACCAGGCACTCTTGGAATGTGGATGCGATTCATTCTTGAGGGCTCCAAGGATTGGCTTGAATCGAAAAGAAGCTTCACTAGCATTGCTATGCAGTTCCCTCTCTTTGCTTCGTAGCCTCTGCACTCTGCACAACTGCAAGTAACTAAGCAGCATGCCGAATCGTGAGTTCCGTTATCGATGAAGCATGCAGGTGCAGCTCTGTCAGATGTCCTTCAGAGAGGTTGAAGCCTGAAATCTCGACATGGCAAGACAACTGCAAAGTGAGAGTTCAAGGTGAATCCCAACCGCTCAAGAACACCTGCTAGAGGGATCTCTTCAACAAGTTCGGGATCTCTCAAGATCATGGGACCTTTGGAAGATTTTGCTGAACAGTTTGAACCGGTATGCCTGTAGTTCCCAAAGCTGGGAAGGCACGCGGCGAAGCTGCTGAAGAAGCCTTGGGCCAAGGAATCTTGCATTGGCCGAGCGTCTTAGCGTTGTTCGAGCGTCTGAGCCCTCTGAAAACAAGTTGGGCATTCTGACAATGACAATGTTGTTGCTAGATGGCTGCAGCGCTGCGAGTGCTGGCTGTATCAGACTGTGTCAAGCAGCCTCATGGTCGCAACTTCAGGCCAATGCAGTGCCGGGCAGTGTCCGCTTGCTCTCAGCTTTTCTGGTGCCACTCGGACCTTAGACGACTACTCGGACCACTACCACACAAAAGTCGATCATCTACTGAGCTCATGAGGGTTGTTGCAGGTTTCATCGGCGGTCAGAACCACGCCTGATGCACACATTTTGGTTGGTATGCTGATAGTCTCCCGTGCAACCGCGTACGTCTTCCAGCCTTTCATCCTCGCAGCCGCACCTGAGCAGCTGCAGCAACAGCCGAGGCGATGCCAGACGAGATGGGAAGAGAGTGCGGGAATGCTTAGAGAGGCCTGGTATGGCCGTGTCTCGTGGATGTACGGCAGTAGTGCTGAAACAAGGGGATACTCAACTTGCATTCATACCTGGTAGAATAATGCTGGGAAGGCCTGTGCTTGATACTGTAGCACCGACTTGCAGAGAGTCTCGCAGCGTCGCGCGGATGGCCATGTCAAGCTCGCTTGGAGATCCTGGCAGGTGTGTCAAAACGTGTGAGGCTGTGGTGCAGTCGGACTCCGCACAGGTGGGGGAGTGAAGAATGCGGTGTCGACAGAATGATTATGCTTGCATGGGCTCCCTATGCGCTCGGTGCTAAGGCATGGGATGATTGGTTTTCAAAGCTCAAAGCTCCCTTTCCAAGACCCTTGAGGATTGTGCTATGAATGCCATCTTAAGCCTCATAAGTTAAGCGACTTGTTCACTCGGCCCCTAGATTTTTTTAGAAGTTGGCTGGTCCTTGTTTCGTCAGTCCATCAGGTTTTTGAAGTGTCCAATCTCTCGGAGGCATGATCGGCATGTCGTGGGACGGATTTATCCTACAAGTAGTCTCCACCAACTCTCCTCCATAGACACGGCCGCCGACCGCCCACATCTGTCACGTAGATCCCGATCCCAAAGCCAACCTCTGGGCGCTTGCCACACTATCTGCACCCTGTGTAGAAGTGTTCCTCACGTGTCAGTTCGACATGGTCCGTAGTTAATTGCGTAAGCCGCAAAGCTCTCGCCAGGTTGGCCTGTGGGTGGAGATGTTCGACAGATATATTTACTACTACGAAGTGCAGTGTGAAGAGGCATTTCGTGCTCAGGGTCTAATTGCAAGGGTCGCCGCCCCTAAGCCTTGCATCTGGGCTGAAAGATTTATTGCTGAGTAGTTGAGATTTGCCCAGCTGAAAACTGGTCCCAGGTTAGGTGCTCAGCCAAGCTTGTTTTTCTAATGGTGTCGTGACCGCAGAAGATGCTCGTCGGTTTAGGGGAACCACGCATGGGCCTCATTACAAATTCAAACAAAAGGTAGCCAGAAGTCAGTTGGTTTACATGTCTGCCTGTGGGCATGTGGCCCCCTTGCACCCTGCCTGCTTGCCGCGCCAGCGAACCTACTCGGCAATCACCTATCAACAGTAAGCAACCCAAGCAGTCTGCTAAGACGGAGGCAAGTCACCAGAACCTTAGTCCATTGTAGCAAAAATTGGTTCATCTGGTTTCGTTTTTGGATGCACTGCACAAAGAACCCTTGTACCGGGTGTACAACAGCTTCCCATGGCGCTATCGGCCTGGCATAGACTGCGTCAGTCTGCCAGAATTATCCAGAATTGGCAATTTCACGATCCATCTGTGTAGAAATTGTCGCGACGTGCCCGGCTTCCAATCCTGATGCATGTCTGCAGGTAGGCATCACCTTCCTGCAGAGTTTGATGCAGATCTGTGTGGAGCACATTGACTTTGCTCTCAAGGAGCCAGACCACTGGTGCATGAACGCGGATCATCTCATTATCCCTGAGGGTTTGACAGACTGTTTGTGGAAATTGACTGCAGCACATGAGTAGTTAGTTTCGTCATCATGGGAACAGAGTTAGCCCAGAGTCGTATTGGAAGTCGATTCCACGCCAAGCTGCATCCGGGGATCAGGGACCAGGGACTCCGTGGAATTTTCGACCCTAAGCGGCTGCACCTGCTAGAACAGGATGCGCAAGCAGAAGCAGAGGCCAGAAAAGCCAAGGTCCCCCACTGCATTTTTTTACACATTCATGTTGGTGTCGAGTGCAAAATATCTGAGGGGATTTCAGGTTTCCTTTCGTCAGGGGTCCCGGCAGTCGCAATAGGCGTGGATGCAAAAAGGCGCTGCAGGTCGGTTGGCCCCTTCATGCGTTCCTTCCTCCTGTGCAGCGAGGTGAAATAAGACGATGTAGAGCTTCGTGTCGGGTTTCAAAGATGACAACATGACGCCCTGTGCGGTCTGCAGCTAAACCTCTCCGCATGCATTATGCTAAATCGGATTGCCTTCAACAGTCGTCCGAGGTGGGGCAGCAATTGTAGCGGGCATCGTGACTAGCATCAGCCGAATCAGCCAATACTACATCTAGGCATTTCACGTCATGCGAAACTTAAGGGCGCTTTGGAAAGTACTTCCAGGCAAAAAACTCGAGGAGTTTGTGAACAGCCAGTGGTTTTGGAGACTCCTCTTACATTCTGCGGACTTTTCTTGTCAAGTCGCCAAGCATCCCAGAGCCTTCGCCATACTCGCGCCTGAGAGGCCCACCTAAACTCCACCGTGACGTATCTGCGGAAGATGAAGGAAAGTAGCTTGCCCAGCTGATGCACAAGGAACTTGGAGATCTCGCCTTTTCTGACAGCACCTACGTTTTGTAGACGGATGAAGGCATCCAGATGCAGGATGGTGATAGGATAGTTTTAAGTTTTAAGTGTCGTGCTTCGAAGGATGCAAGGCTGTCGGCTGCTACGCATGATTGTGAGGCCTTCCGGGCTATCAGTTGCCAACACATTTGAGGGTCTGTCCGATGAGAAGTGTCTGCACAGGAGACCCTCAACAGCCTTGTAAAAGTTTCGTCCGACTTCCATGTTCTGCATGAAGTCTTTACAGGAAAATCCCAGCCCGCGATTTCCCCTCCTCGCCTCCCCCTTGAGCCACCCTGACTGAGCCGAGGCTTGCTGGAGCCAAAACTCGGACTACAACCCCACATATCCCACATGAGGTACAGATCCAGACCTGGCGGCACGCTTTGCAGAGCTCAGCCTCAGCTAGGCCGGCAGTCGTGTCGGTTGGGTTTAGCGCCTTGTCGCTGCAGTCTGACTTTTCCGGTTTGCAGGATTTTCCACGAAATGAGACTCCGTGGAGCTGAATCTCCACGACAATGAGTCCGAAGTTCGATACCTTACTCCCGCCCATTTGCTGACAGCAAAACACAGGCACGATAACACAAGCGATTGCCAATTCATTGTCAAGTCGCTCGTGTCCACTGCTCCCCGAATCTGCCCGTCTTTTCAAAAAAGTTGTCCTGCTTTGCTTTGTGGCTTTGCTTCTGTCATGATGACGTAAGTCTTGCGTAAGGCGGCTGAGCTCGTGGACACTGAATTTGGTGGTCGATCTTCTCTGAGAGCAGACCTCCCTGTAGGCTATGATGTGCATTCTCCCTAATGGAAGTGATTGGCAGTCGCCGAAGGAAATAAATGATGTTCGTGTTGCAGCAGTTGCACAAAGCAGCCTTGATTGCCAGATCCAGCTTCGTTTGTACGTTTGCTGCCAATTCTTGAGCTACGGGCAATGATGGGAAGGGCACATGCTTGCGGTGTACACGCATTGCTAGCCACAATCTTTGACAGGACTCCACAAGCTTTTGGCACTTGCATTTGGATAGACCCCTCAAAGCCTAGCTTGGTGAGTGGAATGGTTACAGCATCCTTTAAGAGCTTCATTAGTCCGTATCGGAACGGGTCAGCTGAAAGTCCCAGTCCTACGGCTGGTGGCAGGATACCCTCCTGCAGGTAGGGAATTTCATGGCAAGCATTGCTCAAACACTTTTCGCAGGTGCTGCTGACTTTCGGCGCGGCCCGCCGGCACAAGAGATGTGCCCAGCATGCTTAGCATAGGTGTTTGGAGAGTCGCTTGAATAAGTATCTGAACTGGCCGTGCTTGGCCTCAATACAGTGTTTTGATCACCCCGTTACACTTTTACCTTCACCTTCACACCTGACATCACCCCACTCTCAGCCTCTCAGCCTCAGCCTTCAAGCCCAGCCTGAACCCGGAATCTCTGAGCGGCTCGAGCTGCCAGCGTGTCTAGCTCGAAGCTACACAGCGGCAGATCGTTTTGCTCATGTCGAGCTGCCAGTATTCTGGGCTCCAGAAATTCAAGACCCCTCGGCCCCCTCGCAGGCCTTGCCACAATCATTAAAGGTATTATTCGCTAAAATCTGTACAGCGTGTGCACTTGTGCGAGAGGTTGCTAGTCAGCATGGGTCTGTCCAACTCTGTTAATCCTCAAGATGCATGAATGTTGGTTCATGCCGCGTTCTGCGAAGGACCTCGATTTCATTCGTGCTCGACACTCTGCTTGAAAAAGGTAGGACATCAGGGTTGACAGAAACTTTTAACAGACTGGACTCGTATTTGCAGCAATAACTGGCAATAGGTGGTGTTGTCCAGTAGCTTGATTCCCGGTCTTCGTCTTCCGTGGTCCACTTTCCTGCGATCTGGCAAGGCCCAGCAATCCAACCTTGTCAATCCTCTTCGCTGATGGTCGCTACAGCAGGTCACCAGAGCTTGCTGGATAACTTAGGCAGAGACAAAGCCGTTCTGAGATCCCTGCACTCGAGGTCGCACGCGTTGTTCAAACACTCCAAGTAGTTTATACAGGGCTCTGAATCGAATCGAAATTGCCCTGTGGCTCAAGAGATGGAAACATGCGAGGGGTAGATTGTGCGTGATAGCCTGCCTTGGCTGCAGCGGCCAGCCAGGAGTTATTTTACAGAACTTCCACGACCTACCAGTTACCAGCTAGAAGTTCAGTGATGTCGTTCCTTCCTGGAAGTTTGCTTTCACTGGGTCAACTGCAAAAGACTGGCACCACGGCAGTTCGCAGTGCTCTTCAAAGTGCTGCAAGTGTTTTCTTTGCTATGCCTGCTTTGGTTGTGCATGGGCACTGTGACGGACGTGTGCTTCATCAGGAGATGGGCGGATTCTATCAGGGCAAAGGTGGAGGCCGGACATCCTTCTCGCTTCGCTATCACCGGTTAGTAGGATCATAGCTCTCCAGCTGCGGATCGGGGATTCGAATCGGTGTCGTTGTGTGGCCAGTTAGGCCTTCCACCAGCACCAGCGCAGAAGTCAGAGCAGTACTTTCACGCTTCAGCGCATGGTCGTGCAGGGTCTATCTTGCTCGTAGTTTACAGCGGAACGCATACGTTGAAGACGCAACCTGGCAGAACCTCCTATCTAGCCACGCGCTATACCGCTGTACCGTAGCTATATACCCTGACCAAACTGTAATACTTCCAACGATGCAGGAAGCTCATTCCTTGTATTCCTAAATCGTGGAGATCTGATCTGTGCAAATAAAATGCAGGAGTTCAAGACGCGCCTCTCCTCACATCGAACGAACCCTTCGCATTATCTCCACCACTCACATATACGGAGCTGAAACAGATCTTTAAACACACGCCACAAGCTACCGCGTAGCGATTGGTGCAAGCATGCCAAAAGGCAAAGGTGGAGCACCCGCTGCTGCTGCGACTCCGACAGCGGACCGTGCGGCAGGCAGCTAGCCCTAGTAGCAGACCGTCATGCCTCAGGCCTCAGTCTCACAAGGCAGTTGATGGTAGGCGGCCCAGGATGTCACTTCCATTCACCATTTTGTGATTTCCGAAGGAACACTCGGTGCCGTTGCAGAAGTGGGCTGGGCAATCTCAAACGGCACTGGCAAACGTGAATGCATTTTCGCCCGACAGACTGGTTCTTAGCCTCGACCCGAATAGATCAAACGAAAACCACACGCGAAACATCTCCATCTCAGTGTTTGGAGAATCTTTAAATCCTCGCGGGCAGAGCTCAGAGGTGACGATCTTCCGGGCGGCCTCAAGCGAAAGCTGCAGGCAAAGAGAAGCCCGGAATTAGGCTGCTGCTTCTGCGAAAATAGTTTGCATGAGAGATTAGGGTTGTTTTTGTTTTGGAGCTTTGCTGACCGAAAAGCGCAGTGATCATGCTTCTGTATAGTAGGTGGTGCACGGTTCCGCTGGCACAGAAGGTGCTTCACGATTGTTGTGCTCTTGTTGCTTGCGTCTTCAAACGATACTCCGCTGTGCGCCCTGCTGATGATGTGACAAGACGCCATTCCAGATCGAAGTGGAAGCTCTGGGGCGAACAGCAGTTGGGTGCATCGCGGCGCCAAGCCCGGCACCATGTATGAAGCCGCTACTGTTGTGGATTCTACACGGCCACGCCACCTATGTGGGCCTGTGAGAACAGCTACAACAGCAGATAGTGCCTTCCAGCACGAATCGAAGTAGGGCATGCTGCGACAACCTATACGAATGCCTTGATGTTTCGTGCGCTCTGTTCGTTGGTTGTTCTCTGACGTCGAGGTGCAGCTCAGACCTGTCTTCGTGTCCGTCCCCGGCTTGCCCAGTGTGACTGTTGAAAATTCTTTGAAAAGCGACGTCGGCCGGAGGCTTTGAACTATCCGGAGCTCAGCGCCGCATGCCTCAGCGGCCAGGCCGAGCACTTCGAGATGTGTGTTAGCATCCATCCGATGCTTTTCGTAGGTGCTGTCTGTCATGTTGTCATGTTGTTGCAGTTCTTGGTTCTTCGTACGACTTTGCCAGCTTGCGATCGCAGGAATTCACAGGCCTTGGGTGCAAAATGTTTCGCTTACTGCACCTGCTCAAAGTCCAGAGGAAGCTATGCCAAACAGTTGTTCAGTTCCGCTCCGCGAACATCTCATATGTGCACTGGTCCCAGAACCTCAGGGCTTTTCCTGAGCATGTCACCAGGCAACGTAACACGGCTGGCGATGTAGCAACTAAGTGGACCTGCCGAAGAAGTCGTTTCCTTCGCCCTTTGCCTCAGGACACAAATCTGAAACGGCAAGCTGGGAACGCGAAATCTAGCATGCTGGATCGTTTACACATCCTACAGAACCTCTGCAGAGCCTGCTAGAGATACGGTACAAGCCTCTAGGCTTACATGAAGATCATCCTTTGGCTCGAAGAGGAAAAGCCCGGAGCCCTAATGGTTGCTGATGAGGCGCAGTTGTGGGGGTCTTTTTGCATTGCAACAGCAGGGCCTATCGACATGAGGACTTAGATGCTGCCGGCACAATCAGCCCCAGATCCCTAAAACCTTTGACGGCTAAACTCCCGGGTGAGCCTATCTGGGAGCAGGGT